ACAGAGTTAATTACCCAGCTGCTGAGACGAGGGGTTAAGCCAGATTCATCCAAACCAAAGGCCCTTTCTTTTTCTTTGTTTTTTTTTTTTTTTTTCTGGAAAACAAATGTTAAATGACCCAAACAGTGTGAGCATTACTTGTCAAAAATTAAAATATTTCCAAAAAGGAAAATAACCCAAATTGGAAAATATTCCAAAATTCTCTTTGGAATATTGCCTCCCTCTGCCCTGACACACTGTCCCATATCATAATAAACAGTCATATCCCTGTAGTGTGTATTCTCCCAGAGTTTTTCTGTATATTTATACATTTGCGTGTAGTCATAGAGAAAATAATATTTTGTGCTCTCTTTTATGGTTTTCTACAGAGAATAATGGTATCACTTTGAAATCATCTGAAGCCTCCTTCTTATTTAACAAGCGATCTTGGCAATGTAGCCGTGTTAGTTCACAGACAGTGATCTTATTCCCTTCAGCTGCTGTGTATTATTTCACACAGAGAGTTACCAGGGTACTGAGCCATCCTCCCACTGAAGGATAGCCAACTTATTTATTAGCCCTTATTTCTATTCCAGCTTTGTGCTCTGTTTCCAAATTTCACAGATAAGCTGTATAACCTCTTTTAGCTCGAAAACTATATCACATGAAGGAAATGAAATGAGTACGAATCTGAAGACATAATAATTCACTCCAACAACTCATTCATTGGGTAGTTAAGCAACACAAAATTGTGAAATGTGTGTGTTACCATAAAAGGGACAGAGCCAAAGAGACCAAACAAAATGATCTGAACAAGTTCAGGCAGGGTAAATGTCTAATAACTAGAGACAACTCAGAATCTAGTTTGTATCCACGTAAGTATGTGACTTGAGGAGTTGTGTGGTTATTCTTGATTATAGCAATTTATTCTCTCATAGTTACTGAGACTACACATATATTATTTAGTCCTAGTGATGATCCTTTAGAGCAGATATCATCTCTTTCTTACTACTGAAGTGGCTTGAGGCCTGGAGAGGTTAAGTAACTTTGCTCTAGGTCTGACAAATCAGTGGCAGGACCAAGGTTCAACCCATGCTGCCTACCTGCTAAATGTTGGGGTTTTTTTCCCATTGTCACCAATTCTCTTTCATCTGAGTTAGTTCAGAAGTAGCCAATGAAAAAGAACAGATTCCCACCTAATGTACAATCTGTCAACTTCCAGTCTCTTGGTTCCTTCTTCAGTTCATATTCCACTCCCTGCTCCGTTGTGCACCCGAGGAAGTTATTCATTTTTCCCCAATAACACTTTGCTGTAAGTTTTGCACATACTGTTTCCTTCTTCTGGAGCATTCTTCTCTTTTCTGAACAGTAGGCAACTCTGACTCATCTTTCAGGTCAAACATCATTTACCACAGGAAGCCTTTGCTGCACCATCCCCCACCTTCACACCTGTGTTAGGGTTCTGCCGTGTCATCCCATGATGCTATGTGCTTGCTTTTTTTTTTTTTTTTTTTTTTTGAGACGGGGTCTCGCTGTGCAGTTCAGGCTGGCCTGGAGCTCACTTTATAGCCAGGCTGGTCTTGAACTCACGACAGTCCTTCTGCCTCAGCCTCTAGAGTGCTGGGATTACAGGTGTGTGCCACCACGCCCAGCTGTGTTTACCTTTCTTGAAGAATTTGACATAAAACCGGGTGTGGTAAGGCACACCTGTAATCCCAGCACTCAGGAAGCTGAGGCAGGAGGATCATCACAAGTTCAAGATCAGCCTGGGCTACAAAGTGAGCTCAAGGCCAGCCTGAACTGCATAGTGAGACCCTGTCTCAAAAAAAAAAAAAAAAAAGAATTTGACATAATTAATTCTAAATATCTGCTACTAGCATTTGTTCCTATAGTATGCAGTGAACTCCTGAAGAACAGGAATCAGTTTATTCTAATTACATCTCTCCTCTAGCACAGTGTCTAATATACAGTAGGCATTTGTTTAATGTTGATGAATAAATACATCATAGGGTAATTATGGCAGAAGTGACTCTCTATCTCCATCCCTGCTCATTGCCTCCAAGATAGACATCTAGCAATCCCATCGCCAGCCTGTTAGCCTTCCTAACTCACTTCCTGAGATCACAGGCATTTTTCTCTTCGTCACAGTCTGGGAAGGACATAGCCAACAGAGCTTGGAAACCTGAGGTTAAGAAAGCCTGGAAACTTCAGGGATAGAGTGTCCAAGGACACAACAGCCCCACTTTATGAGAAGTCCAGATTGATTTCATCTCTAAAAGACAGGGCGGAGCTGGGGATTTAGCTCAGCACCACAGTGCCTGCCTGGCAAGCACAAGGTCGTGAGTTCAATTCCTGGTACCGGAAAAAAAAACAAAAAATAAAAATAAAATAAAATAAAAGACAGGGCATTACTCTACTCTATAAAGCAGAGGGAAAAATACTAAAGAAGAAGTGGAAGCTGAATTTTATTGAAAAAAATTGACTATAGAAGAAAATTAATGAAGGAACCTCAGGAAACATCCAAGAAAATGTATCATTCCATAGTTTAAAGGAACAAAAATAAAAAGATTCAAGCCAGGCTACATGAAACACAAATAGATTTTGCAGATGATAAATTTCTCCACTGTACATATCTTTCTCTTTTCAGTTAGAGATCATTTAATAAAAAGAATCTGTTTTTTTCAAGTTTGCCAATATAGGTTTTGTTTGATAGTTCAAAGAATGCCTTAACTTGCAGGAATCTGGTGTTCTAGACGATGCTTACAAATTGTTCATGGCAATGCAATATACACTTTGTGTTTACTAATTCTTAGAAAGAAAAAATAGAAAATGCAACCAGAAAGAAACATAACCAGAAAGGGCTGCCATCACCAACTACTAGTAAAAAAATAGATAGAAATAATTGTGTGGTGTTATTGAGTGCCAGGGTTTTACTACCTGCTAGACATTGTGCTAGATTCTAATAATAGAAAGGGAAAGTAAAACAGATTCGCCTTGTCACTGGGTAACCACATGTTAAACAAATACCTGGAAGGTATGTGTCTCATCAAGAAGATTTTAAGAATAGAGGAATCTAAAGAAATAATAGTAGGGAGGCCTGCTTCAGATAGGTAGCCAGGGAGAGCCTCCATGAGGAAGCGATATTTAAACTGGGGCCTGAAGAATAGTAAGAGGCAGCTGGATGAATAGCGGAGGGGAAAAAAATACAGGTAGAGGATGCGAAATGCATAAAAAAGTGAATATCCTGATGTTAAAAAGAACTTGGCCTTTTTAAGGAACAGAAAAGAAGGCCTGGCTGCCCATCGTTGTCCGCTTGGTCCGCAGATCCATGCCTGCCCCTGGAACGCCTCCACCACAGGGCCTACTTCTTGCACTTGTCAGGTTGTCTTGCCTTCTGGCTCTGCTTTTGGCCAAGGGGAAGGAATGGCAGGAGATTTGAAGGTGATCAAAAAGAAAAGCGAGGGCATTCCTAGTTTTCTTTATGGCTTCGTAGAGCCTCAGCCTGTGGTGATGTGTCTGTAGATTAGAGAGTGGATTCTGGAAGAAACATGGGGGTAACCCCCCTCCTCTATTTTGGGCCTAGGATAATTTTCTGGGAGACCATCCTTACAGCTTAATGATACCTCCATGTATCACAGTGATGTGGT